ACTACATTGTAGTTACATCCTAATATATCTAAATGTAAATGTTTCTTTGTATATTGCATGTACAGTGTTTGCTTATTTATAGTTGTATCGTAAATATACACAGTACACATGTAATTACAAACTTGTGTTACGGTGTAGTTACATTGTAATTTCATCCAAGATAATATGTATAAACATGTTTCTTTGTTTCATTTCAAGTACTGTATTTGTGAATTTATATGTAAATATACACAGTACATATGTAAGTACAAACTTTTATTTTGGATGTAATAACATTGTTATAACATTGTAATTACGTCCGAGATACAATATATATATAATGACAAACTTTTGTCTTGTGTGCACTGTGTCGTTACTTTTTAATTACTATGTTATTACATTGTAAATGATTCTTTGTATATTGCTTGTACAGCATTGGGTTATCTATAGTTGTATACATAAATATACACAGTACACATAATTACAAACTTAATTACTATGTCGTTAGATTGTAATTACATTGCTATTGCTTTGTAATTACATCCAAGATAATACTTATAAACTTAAATGTTTCTTTGTATATTTCATGTACAGTATTTGTGTATTTATACCTAAATATAAGCAGTACATATGTAATTACATGTAATGACGTAGTAATTAAATCCAAGATAAATGTTTGTAATTACATATTACAATGTTATAACATTGTAACTACATCATTATAACAATGTATTTACATTGTTATTACAATGTAACTACTACATTTTTTTGTAACATTATAATTACATTGTTGCAACATTGTAATATGTAATTACACATTTATTTTGGATTTATATATCGTTACATGTAATTACAATGTAGTTAAATCCAAGCTCATATTTATAAATGTAAATATTTCTTTGTATATTGCATGTACAGTGTTTGTTAATTTATAGCTGTATATAGAATTACTAACTGTCACAGTGTAAAACTAAGACACTGTGACTAACAAACACACATCACATTGCACTCATACATAAAATACACACCTTTAAACATGGACCTTTGTTTTATTTGTATTGTGCATGTGTGTGTTTGTGTAATATGTATATGTTGTTTTCTGTCAAGACTAGCATTGTGTTTATGTAAAAATTTCACTTATGTCAAACAATAGCCCATATCAACACTGAAATAACCACAGACACATTTTCTTTCAAACTTCATTTATTAACCAAACATATAGAGTTTACATATACTTACCAGTTTCCTATTCTCAGCACCAAACCTGTTTAACTTTCAAACAAAGCCATTTATACAGATTTTTCCCGCCTTCACTTTGGAGCAGCCATTTTCCATAACATCATCAGGGTCACAACCCCCTGGTCAGTAAATAAAAATCACAGTTTTGTTGTTTAAATTTGTATTGGTTATTTGTTGTGTTGTATTTTGAGTTTTCTATGCATATTCATTTACTTGCATTAATTTATATTTCTGTTGAATGTCTTTTTATGTATTTTTTTTGTCTACATGGTAACCCACTACCAGTAAAATGGTTTAAGCCATGGGTGGGGCCCCAAACATTCACTTGGGGTGGGTAGTTGTAGGAGAAGGTTGTGTTTTTGTCAGTATTGGTAACAGATTTTGTTCAGGTCATTTACTTGATTTAGCTGAACAAGCCTGTATATACATTGTAAATATTGAATAGTTTATTTTTCTTTATTGTTATTTTGTCACTTTCACCTGTTTTGCTGGATTTTGTTTTCACTTTGTGTAAATAAATCACTCTTCACTTTCACCAGCGGCTTCTGTGACACTTTTTTGCCTCCATCCACCCGGTCAATCGTAACAATAACTTTTATCTTGTGTGTGATTACAGTATCATTACATTGTAATTACTATGTCATTACATTACTTTTACAATGTAATTACCTAGTCATTACAATACTGTTTACATTGTAATTACATCTAAGATAACATTTATAACCATGTTTTTTTGTATATTCCAAGTACTGTGTTGGTGTATTTGTATGTAAATATAAACAGTACAAATGTCATTACAAACTTTTATTTTGGATGTAATGACATTGTATTTACATTGTTATGTTATTCTAACTACTTCTGAGATGTACTATGTAATTACAAGCTTGTCTTCTGTTCATTTAATGTGTCGTTACATAGTAATTACTATGTCATTTACATTGTAGTTACATCCAAAATAATATGTATACATGTAAATGTTTCTTTTTATGTTCCATGTACAATATTTGGTTATCTTTAATTATATATGTAAATATACACAATACACATGTTGTTAAAAACTTAATTACTATGTCCTTACATTGCAATTACATTGTAATTACTTCGTTACAATCTTGTAACTACATTGGTATAACAAGTCATTACTTTTTAAAATTGTAATTATGTTTTTATAATAATTTTTTTTATTTTACTAACATTGTTATAACATTGTAATTACATCTATGATAATATTTTAAATGTGTTTTGAATATTTCATGTACAGTACAGTATTGTCACCTAGATATCTAATTACAAACTTTTTAGATGTAATCTCTACGTATTAACATTGTAATTGCATTGTTACATTGGTATAACATTGTGATTAGTTTGCAATAACATTGTAATTACATCGTTTTAACAATATTTTTATTGTACTTACATTGTTCTAACATTGTAATTACATCTATGATAGTATTGTAAATGTGTTTTTGTATATTTTGTGTTAAGTACAGTATGCCATGCATTCATGCTAAAAAAAAAATGCTTTTCTTAATAAGAGATATCTGAGAAACAGATGATCATTATTGGTCCGGTCTTATATAGCTGGTCACATAAATTAATGGTGATCCAACAATACATTTATTAGTTTGGAAGTGACATCATAACCCTGTTTACAATCCTGTGGACAATCTTTTTATTTTGGTAAAATTTCACCAGAATTTTATCTTAATTAGTACAAATAATTAAGATGTCATTTTGAGATTTTTGTACAATTTACTTGCACCCTGTAAGAACTGACTTTCATCCTTATATTTGTCTAACACTTTTTGTAAGAAAAACAAAAACTTGTTTACTTCTTGGACATCTGATGCATTTTGGTTGACTGGTTCAGTCAAGGAGACATAGTCCTTGGGCCTCATGTGCGAAGACTTGCGTTGAAATCATACTAAAACATTGCGTCACACATAGCTGTAAATGTGCATACACAGTAAAAAATGCAGATGTATGAAACACTGCGTATGCCGAATCACACGCATATTCTCTTTGTACATCCGAATGAACGTGAAACTGAGTGCAACATGCACAAGCACAAAACCCCTCCCTGCCTCCTCCCCTGTATGAATATGCTAATGACTCTATTTTGGCAAATCCAAACAATAAAGCAATGGCAAAAGCAAGCAAAAAGAGAAACTTTGAACAGAATGTGAATTGGAGGTGCTCTATTGGAGGTATACCAGAGAAAAATGTTATTTGCAAGTTTGTTGTTGGAATGAGCCAGTTTAGTGATTTTCGCCGAAGGGCAAACATCAGCAGTGCTAGTAGCATAGCTCGTAATGCGCATGACAACATGTTTTGACACTGTTATTCATGAACCCGGTTCAAATCCCGCATCTGATAAACTCATTCTTCTTTTTTTCCCCATTACATATCAGGTTTTGCCTACTTTTCATCACGAGGAACACAAGTAAGAATCATTAATAAGTGTGTGCATTATGTTAAGCGCATTTGAGCATCATATTTTATTTGCACATTTATTGAATACAAATGTTTCTGATTCCCGTATGCAAATTCATCTTCAGATGGTATCTTTATAGCATTGTGCGTACAGTCGATCGATCCGATTACTTTGGGAAAACTGGCGATCACTGCAAGTTGGGCTTTCATGTTTGGCTGGTCAACTATGGTATGGAAACCTTATATACCTGCTAGACATGCGGATGATATCGTCCCATACAGCTGGGACGATATCATCAATCAAAGATATTTTGTAGTGTGCAATTTAACACAACTGCCTCTAGGAGTCGCCAATGGAAATAAAACAAACACGCACAAGAAATGCACATACGCCAGACATGAAGTTGGCGTGAAACCTGATGTACGCAATGTTTTTGCGCGTACGCAGCGTTGATACATGAGGTCCCTGGTGTTGAGACAATGAACTTTCCAGATTTGGACAGTGTTTACAGTAAATGCTGTCTTCCTCATGCATTTCAACAACACAGCTCATGTTTTTGTTACTCTCCAAACACATTGAATAACATTAGTGTTTATATGTTGAAAGCTTTAATGAATGCATTTTCGACTATGGAAATGATCAAAAGTGGACAAGCTCAATATATTTTATACCCTGTTTACAGCTATATTTAGCATTACTTACAATTGTAGGGCTGTGTAACACTGTGTGTAAACACATGAATCACAACAGATTTAAACCACCTCCTAAATTTATAGTTTTCTCACGAGTTTGGGTTGATTGAGATTTTTCTTCCCTGAAGGCAGAAACAAACCCAATTTCAGCCCCTTACGATAAACGAGTAGGACTATTCTGTGGTTGGCTATTTTACATAAATGTTCAATATTCCGCCTTCAGATAAAGATGTATTTGCATTTGGCAGCATTGTGTATGATTATTTAGATACTATTCTGAGTCTTTATGAATCATCTGAACACAGACAGTGTGCTTTCCCTGAGATGTCATGAGAGTGTGGATATTGTGCCATTGGGGTTTCATTAGAGGTGTGAAGGGGTGTGTTGTGTGTATTTGTATGTGTGGACCAGTGGGGGGAAGGGAACACACTTTACCTCCTTTGAGGAAACCTTCTTTGTGTACATTTAGTGTGCATCAAAGGGAAAAGAGGTTGATTTAGTTGAGTTGCATTAATCGTATTCCCTCGTTTGAATCAAATATTGAGTGAGAGGGAGGGGAGAAAAGGTAGAGAGAGAGAGGAAGAGAGAGAGAGAGATGGAGTGGGAGGGAGGAGAGGAATGATTTGGGCTATTATGAAAAGAAGATAGAGACAGAGTGGAGGAAGAGAGATCGTGTCGCGCAGACGAAAGCATCCTTACTGCGACTGGAGGCTGTGGTTGCTTGGTAAAGAGAGAGAAAATCTCGTAATAGTATAAAAGGCCATTATTGACGCAGCGCGCGGTACCAGCAGCGTCACCGGAGGAAGCAGAGAAACGCGAGCACGTCCTCATTCAAAGCTGTTATACGAAGGTAAGAAAGCGCTTTTAAGCTTTTGTCATTCAAAACATCATCACACACTTCGCAATTTTATTTCTAATGCAATGAATTCGGTGTTTGGTTGTTTTGAGCCACTGTTTTATGGCGACGCGCGCTGTGTTTATAGTCTGTAATGAGAATTGAAGCGTCCCATAATAATTTGTTTGAAATAGATTGCGCAATACAGTCTAGCGGGGTTATATTTGGGGGTGTTTGGGTTGTCAGTGTCACGTTGTGGAGTTATTAGGATACCTGTATGAGATAAACACGTTTATGGTGGAATAATGAGTCGGACTGATGTGAGCGGATAGTGGCAGCGTTTTGTTTACACGGGAGTGACTAACCTCGTTGAAATTACAGCGGCTGTTGGACAGCCATGAGTCTTATTACCCAAACACCTGCGCAAACTACTGACCAAACGAGAACATAATTTAGCTACTCATTAAAATAGCTGACCAGGGGCAGTTACTGAAACCTTTTTTGTTATATTTAAAGACTGACCTACTCATTTGTAGGGGAGACCGGGGCAAGTTGTCACACTATTATGTCAAAGGTCCAATTGTACAATTATTTTTGCCTACACTGTAAAAAATACGATCAATCAGTCCTGAAAGCATGTGTTTTTAAGTCATTGTAACTTATTAATCTAAGGTAGTCATGTTCTAACTTAACTTTATAAGTTATACCAACTGTTTTAAGTAAGTTTAACATAATGTACGTTCAATGGACTCATAAGGTTAATTTTATTCAGCTTAAAAAATTAAGGCAACCAGGATTTTTTACAGAGTAGCAGGGGTTTTGTGTGTTGCCTCCAAACATTCATTCATTCATTTTCTTGTCGGCTTAGTGCCTTTATTAATCCGGGGTCGCCAAAGTGGAATGAACCGCCAACATATCCAGCATGTTTTTACGCAGTGGATTCCCTTCCAGCCCAACCCATCTCTGGGAAACATCCACACACACACACACACACACAAACACTACGGGCAATTTAGCCTACCCAATTCACCTGTACCGCATGTGTTTGGACAGTGTGGGGGAATCCGGAGCACCCGGAGGAAACCCACACGAACGCAGGGAGAACATGCAAACTCCACAAAGGAACGCCAGCTGAGCCGAGATTCGAACCAGCGACCTTCTTACTGTGAGTCGACAGCACTACCTACTGCGCCACTGCATCGCCTGCCTCCAGACACTTTGAGCAAAATTAGATTGTAGGGTTTTTTTGTCAATTTTTTTTTGATTATAAAATGTAATCATATTTGTTGTCCAAAATAAGCCTTTTCGTTAAATGTAGGCTATTAATGATTCATTCAGCTAAAACACTAAATACTAATATATTTGGAACATATCTATCAACGGTGATTACAATATTGTTTTTATTTTTATTTTTCTACTATTTTTTGTTTTATATTTCAAAAATAAAGATAAACATGTAATACACTTTTTCTTGGTAAATAATTAATTGCTTATTAAAAATTTTTTGTATTGCCAAAAAAATGTAGGTATACAGAAATGTACTTTTGGAAATAAATTATACATATTCATATAAACTTATTGTAGATTGCTCTTTTTATTACTGTAGCCCTGAAATATTCTGTAAGTTGAAAACATAAATAAATCAAATAACCATAAAGGCATTTGCAATTAATTTCAGCAAGATGTTGAAAAGAATTCAAACCTGTTTGAACAAACTGCACCAGTTCATAAATTCTGATCATACACAAAAGCGCAGCGAGGTCAGTATCCCCCAATACTAACCGCCTTGTTCTGTGACTCAGTCTCATGGCACGAAATTCTTGCCTCATGTTGTCGGGGTTTTATTCTTATCAGTTGAATCTGTAGGATTCAGAAAAGCAGTCTTGTTTCTGAGACCCGAATGAAACATTTTAGACATTTTTGAAGTGACTGGAAGCTTGTCATCATGTATTTTGCACCATCCCTTTTTTCTTTGGCATTGTGATAAGTCTTCACTCAGTTTTCCGTGTGTTTTATAATCTCCTCCTGCCTCATTTTTATGCATTCTGAAGCACTGTTGTATCAAAGTAAGATCTCATGAACATGGCCGGAAGCAGTTTTTCTTTCCATAACATCAATGAATCTTGATTCTACTCCAATTGCATTCTGAAAACTAGCATGGTAATTTGGTTAAGCAATAAAAGTAGTACATAAACTGTCAGTGACTCAGGTTTATTGGTGACGGCTGTAGTGCAAGAGAGCATTTCAGAGGTGTTTTGGAGGCAGGGGACATCTATGGCCAGAGGTTAAACCTGATAGTGACAGACCGAGCAGCAGCAGCAAATTAAAGCTCAGTGAAGCACTGTGGAAAAGTACACTGTGGACTGCTAATGCTGGCCTGCAGCAGCCCCATCAATGTGCTCAGGTGTGCGGCTACAACCGAAAATGCAAAACACTGTTAGACTGAGACAGAAAAGGCAGCTTTTGGACACGATGGTGCTGATTCTGGCAGACTCTGATTTCGGAAGACTTATGACCTAGAATTCTTTTATAAAATAATTCATGTAAATATAGCTCTTCACAATCTACTGGAATGAGGGCGTGTGCTATATCCACCCAGCCTCATAAAACATTCACTAGGTCCTCCTCATGCTCTCAGAGGCAGATGAGGTTGAGCGATTGAGTAGATTATAGCTCTATGGTGACATAGAAATAGCCCAACTAGCTATTTAGAAGTAATACGTTTCATTTATAATGTATTTTTTTGTACCCAACATGGTCCTACTAGGCCTGTCTCAATCAAAGATTTTGGCCTGAGTCCTGACTATTCATTTTAATTACTGTTTTGTTTACTTTGTTATTTTTTTGCCAAATACATTTATTCATTTTCTTTTGGGCTTAGTCCCTTTATTTATTATGTTTCACCTCAGTGCAAGGAACTACTAACTTATCCAGCATATGTTTTATGCAGCGGATGTTCTTCCAGCTGCAACCCATAACTGGGAAACATCCATACACACTCATTCACACACATACACTACAGACAATTTAGGCTACCCAAATCACCTATACCGCATGTCTTTGGACTTGTAAGGGAAACCAGAGCATCTGTTGAAACCCACATGCACACGGGGAGAACATGCAAACTCCACACAGAAACGCCAACTGACCCAGCCGAGGGTCAAACATGCAACCTTTTTGCTGTGAGGCAAACGTGCTAACCACTTCGCCACAGTGCAGCAATTTTTGCCTAATACATAATATAATATAATCTAATATAATCTAATATAATATAATATAATATAATATAATATAATATAATATAATATAATATAATATAACATAATTTAATATAATGTAATATATATTATAAAGTAATATAATATAATATAAAATAATTTAATATAATATAATATATAATCTAAAATAATTTAATATAATATAATATAATATAATATAATATAATATAATTAATAACATTTCTTACAAAAATATGCTCTTTAAAGTCTGCTTAAAGAGTTGCTGAGATTCTTGTTTCATTATGTTGAATTACTTCCAACTGAAATTAAATATTAAGTAGGGGCGGGGCTTTATTTTTATTTATCATTCCTTATAGCAAACTAATTGTAAGAGGGGCATGGCTAAGGATATTGTAGCTGAAGCCATCAAACTGATGTCAACAGAAGGAACACTTTGGTTGAAGAACATGCAATGAATAAACTTTTTTTCAGTAGATAAACTTGCACAGATTATAAATTATATAAAATATAATGATATTTATATAATTATTGATAAGCTTATTTAATCTACAGGGCTATTAAATGTTTGGTTTTGATTGGCTGATGAACAGCTAAATTAGGTCCAGGCAGGTTTTGCCTGCCAGAACGATTTTGATTGAATGTGTAAGAAAATAGGCTGCAACTAAAATCACCTACTACTTGAGTAGATTCTACATCTGAATTTGAATTTACTTTATGACTATAAGAAATTTTAATTATAATAGGTTTAATTATTATAAGTGCATTTTATGTAGTATGAATGTGAGTAGCATCAAGATTGGAATTCGGACATACTACATCCGTCCTTTGTCATTATCTTGTTACCTACCTGTGTCAATTGAGTCACTTCTTGTGAAGAAAATGTTAAATGAGAAAACAGTGGGTGCGGCTTTTTTATATTGTGAGCTGATTGTATGTAGTTAAGTAGGCATTTAATTCAGAAAGATCAGGAAAAGGGTTTTTGGTAGAGTTATTACAACCTAACAGACGCCACCTCCTCACCATTTCTGTTTGTTGTCATAGCCCTGTCAAAACTGATAGTAGAAGAGAGGTGTGGTTAAGTTTGTTAACCATGCCCAAAATCTCAGACAGACATAATTTGACTGAAAACAAAGAGGATGTACATTGGGTTTGCTTAATGATTAAAGTCGGTATTTTGAGGTTAAAAATACAGTAAAAAAACTGTATTAAGAAATGTTTTTATGATTTTGGATAACAGTTTTATATTTAATTTTTTACATTCAATATAAACATATACATTTTTATTTTATATTTTATAATAATAAAATAATTATATTAAATTATATTTGAAACAATTTAATGTCTTGAAAACCATGACTGGATTCAAGTTTCCAGTGACAGGATTCTTCAGACATGTCCAATGCTTATTTAATGTTCATTTATTATTACTAAAAATGTTGAAACCAGTTGTGCTGTTTAATATTCTTATCAAGGTTTTTAAAGGGTTAAGAGAACAGCATTTTATTGAAGTGATTTTTTGTAAAAGAATTAATTATAAACTAAACAGCAAATGATTATTGATTATATATTGCTCATTGTTCATTATTCCATTACAAATAAAACAATCAATTCATAGTAATATTTATTATTATTTATAAATAAAACACATTTTCACATTTAGGTTTAATTAGTCAGTCTCTGTTTGTAGTCTCTGAGTAGTGTTCTCCACCTTCTGTTGCTATACTACATGGTTTTACTTCCAAGAACTTGAAGGAAATGAGTCAGGTTCTCTGTCTC